AATTGGAAGTCAAGGGAGATCCTTTAAATTTGGAGTAAAAAAAAAATAGTCTAAACTCTAAACTAAATGCATGTACGAGTCGATGCTTTTCAATAGCAATGAGAAAAGGGCTTTGTCTCTGCAGGGTGTAATTCTGTGCTCCTCAGAGTCCGAGTTGGTAAGAGATAATATAGACTTTATTGATCTCACATTGAAGTTAACGCTGGAGAAATTTACAAAATAATGTTGTGCCATAACTTTTTGTATTTGTCTGTTATAAATTGGACTGTGAGTCTAGGATAAACTTACGCTCAATTGACAAATCTTGAGTTACAGAACAGATACACTGACTTTTTATCCAATGGATTTTTCTATGGCTCTACTCTAGCTGGTTGCGTTTCCATTATGTTTTGAAGCAGCAGACAGACGACAGCGACAGCAACAGACAATCTCCCCTCTGCAAGTGTCACTGCCAGGGTCAATGCGCCAATCAAATAAATATTTTTCATGCATTCATTTTTCTGTCTTGGTCTCTTCAGATTGAAATAGTGTTTGGTGAAATTCCTTGTTACCATGGCTTCCAGCAACACTGGCCAATCCCTGTTAGTGAGAACACTTTAGCAGCTCGCCTGGATAGAACCACAGCCATGAGGGACCAAGGAAGGACCTGGCGGTTAAACTTAGTAGGGCCGAGTAGGGCCGAGTAGGGCTGGTGAAAACAGGGCTATAAGGTTTTATGTCACATCCCGTTACTTTGATTCAACCCTCCAAACTTCATCCACTCAAATCACAATACACTGCAGTTTTTTTTGTACAATATCCGCTTCATTCCCAGTGATGAAATAAATAATCATGGCGAGATGAGGCCCAGCGCAAAATGATCCTAATCACAACAACTTCACAACGCCTTTATTTCGGCTGCTGCCATTATGTTCCAATTAGCCACCAAAGCAAGTCGGGAGAGAGAGCGTTCTTCAAGGGGATCTGATCTGCCTTTCAGGGAGGAAAAAAGAAAAAGAAAATAAACAGAAAACAAAGAGAAAAAATTAAAATATATTATCATCTTTTACAAATCCTTTCAAAAATAAATAAGACAAACACAAACAAAAGCGCGCACAAAGGGGCTCCTCCGTCTTGGCGCGGGGCTGGATGTGCGGGCGTCTCCAAGGACCACAGCCCCGGAGCATTTGCATATAAACTGGGATTGTCATCGGTGCGCGTCAGAAGCAACCGAGGGGATTTTCATGTGCAAATTTCAGCCAACTCCGTGCTTTATTATTATTTCATCAGATCCAAAGAGAGAAGGAAGCCCCGAAAACCCCACAGTGTCCCCCTCCCCTCCCCTCTGCTGCTGCTGCTTCAAGAGTCCGTCCACCCCCCCCCCCCCCCCCCCCATCCCCTCGGAGGACCGGCGTGCTGAGTGGATGTTTACACTGTGGGACGCGGCGTAGCGCGTTAGCAAAGGAGGCCTCGGGAGAACGCCAGAGCCTGCGTCGCGCTTTATGGAAATGCAGAGAATAGAGAATGATGTGGATTATAAAACCGCGAGCTTTCATGTGCGCCAGATTCTGGAGGGTTTGTTGACATCGATTTTTGTGATATCGGACAAGGGTTTTCAACGTTTAGAGCAAGGGGTGCTAGGGTCCTGGAACGGGCGTGTGGCAGCAGGTTTTCATTCCAACCAATCAGGAGCGCAGCAGACTCCGCCCCATTCGCTCAGGTCTCCGGGTTAAGACTTGACTCACTTAAGGAAATAGGTGGAGTCTGGTGTTCTCCTGCTTGGTTGGAATGAAAACCTGCAGCACTCCGCCCTTTGAGGACCGGTCTGACATCCCTGGGGTTGAGTGCATGAATGTGTTGTTACAAGTTTGAAAAAGTGCGTACATTTCAGTTTGGTGAGTTTTCATTATTGTTGTGTGGCTATACCTGCATGCGAAAACCAGATCCCGTCAGACCTCTTGAGCTAAGTAGGGCAGAGCCTGGTTAGTACTACGATGGGAGACCTCTGGGAACACCACGTGCAACTGTGGGGCATGTGTAAAGTGCCAAACTGTACTGTGTCCCCTTGCAAGACACTTCACCCACAGTGTTTAGAATGAGTTTGGTGTGTGTGTGAATGGTTGGTGGTGGTCAGAGGGGCCGATGACATATACTGGCTACCTCGCTTCTGTCAATATGCCTCAGGGCAGCTGTGGCTACAGTAGTAGTGTATCACCATTGTGTTTGGAGAGGAAAGAATAATGACATGTTTGACATATGAGTGTCCAAAAAAGCGTTATTCTTATGTACATGACATGTCCTGGTGGGTGTTTGGTCGTCTGACTGTCCTCCAACAAAAAAGAAAGAGAAGGCTTAAGCGGAAAAACCATTCAGACAAAAGAACAAGCAGAGTTCAATCCATCAATCTTATTATTTGATGGATTGCAGGAGGCCAGTCCCTGTGGCAGTCCTCACAGTCAGAGTTGGTGGATCAACTCAAAAACACAACAAAACAATAAAAATGAATAATACTTTTTATTTACCATGATGTATAACTTATGAGATCCAGATCATTGGGGAAAAGTTAAAGATACCCTTCTTTATCTGAACTCATAATCTTAAAATTAGCCATTTAAGTTTTGATATTTTCACAATATCCTGTTCAGATTGTTCAGTTGCTGCTTTGTCCCAGCGTACAGTGTGTACAGTGTGTTTGTTCAGTGGGACCGGCCCCCAGGAGCCCCGCCGCTCCTGACGCTGGTGCTTTAGTATTAATTGCTTGTAAACTGCGAGGCTTGAGGCGTCACACTATAACTGTAAAGAAGATTACAGCCAATTAGCTGGTCCTCAGAAAAGGCCTCTGCACCAGGGGAATACGACTGGTCCTTAATGTGGCACAGCTGTGGGCCACAAAGAACACACAACAACACTATTAAACACACACGCGCACACACGCACACACACACACAAACAGAAAGGATTATAGAAGGACTGACCAGCAGGGGGCCCCAGAGAGAGAAGCCACAGGAGGACCAGAAAAAGCATCACAGCCAAACAGAGTAGAACAGAGAGAAAATGTATATATACTGTATATATATATAGAAAATATACTAAAGTGAATGATAAACAGTGGAGTTTGAGGACATTTAAAGCTGGGGTACCTAACTTTTAACAGAAACTGTTTATGTTGCTGTATATAATGTGTGCTGGATTTAGGAATTTATTTGGCCGTTCTACTACTTTGGTGCATAAAGGGTTAAAGATTATGCTAAAAGAAAAGCCCAGGTCCAGTCTCTGTTCCGTCCGCTCCTCATGAGAACTTTTTGAGTTATGGTGGTCTCAGCAAGAAGGCCCTGGGTTCGAATCCCGGTCAGAACAGGTTCTTTCTGAGTGGAGTTTGCATGTTCTCCCTGTGTCTGCATGGGTTTTCTCCGGGTGCTCCGGTTTCCCCTACCACTAAAAACATGCACAATAGGTTTGAATGTAACAAGTGAGTGAATGGATGGTGTTGGTTTGAGGCTTCGATGCTCCAGTGTGTTTGGCGTCTCGCTTCATTGGGTGTGTCATGTGCATGTATGTGTGTCATGTGCATGTATGTGTATGTGTGTGTGTTTCTGTTTATGTGTGTGTTACTATGTTTGTGTGTGTGTGTGTGTGTGTGTGTGTGTGTGTGTGTGAATGTTTAAAATCAATCAATCAAATTTATTTATAGAGCACAGTTCATACAGTGTAACCCAAAGTGCTTCACAACCAAATAAAAGACAGACAATAAAACATATAAACAGTATTTACATATAAAATATAATAATAATATAATAATATATTGTATGAAAAAAGGCAAAAGTTAAGAACATAAAAATGAATGCATCAAATTGGTCATCTGAAATCCTGAATAGCACAGTTTTCAGCCTGGACTTCAACATTGCCAGGAACGAGGCCTGTCTCACAAGCTGTCTAGTCCTGACCCTGGGCACCAGCAGGAGGCCAGTCCCTACTCCTCAGGGTCCGAGTCGGTTCATATGGCGCTAACATGTCTCAGATATACTGTGGTGCGAGCATAGACTGTATATATTAACGGACAGAGTCACGCCTATCTCCGCCATTCTAACTAATGGGCCAAAAAACGGTGCTCTACTGGAGCCAACTTTTGGTTCATCCTGTAAAGACGTTTTTGAGAGGTCTGCCAATGCTATATGTTAGCATTGGCTAATTCTACTTCTGGGTCCACTCCCATCGGCCCGGGGTGGTATTGCAAGCATGTCAGCGCACGTCATTTTGGCCCCTTTTTAGCTGGGACCCGCCCCCACTGGGTGCGAGGCCATGGAGAGACTTATACACTGTGTGTCTGTGTGTGTTTAATATTATATGTAGATGGGTCTGTTGGGTACGTGGATTGACAGGTTATGGGCCTTGTTTTGAGCCAAACTGTAAAGTACTTTGTGTTGCTTTTTATGAATGAATTTATGAATGTGTTGCACGAATGAAAGTGTGGAGCAAGAGTCTGAAATAAAGAAATGATGGCGCACATTCACTTATGACTAGATGCCGTCTGCCTCTGCATATTATCTCAGTGAACATTTTTCCCCAAACCAGTCTCCTAGTACTTTGAACGAGCTTTTCTCTCTTCAACATACATTCCAAGCACTTATTCCACCTCTGCGCTCAGCCCCAGTCTCCGCTCTGTAATAAACGATCGCTAAAAGTGACAAAGATGACAAGAGAAAACCATTTTTAGGTCATTGTAGACTTTTAGCTTGCCCTGGGGCTGGTACACGACTGAATATACACACAATGAAATCTCTTGCTGCAAAACGGCAGAATAAAAGTGATTTGCACGCACACAGAAGTACTATTACTGCATTAAAAATAGATAAGCACATGAAGGCGCGCAAACACCCCCAAAGTATACACCGCCGCGCGCTCCCGTCTCCAACGCGTCAAAGCGCACTACAGTCGCCAAGGTAAATACGTTTTAAAAGGTTGCCGCTGAGCCGTTTGGTTTTTTCTTCTCTCTCTCTCTCTCTCCTCCCAAACCTTTTAAATCAATTTGTCAGCTCCGCCGCGTTCCACCAAAAAAGCTCCGGTGTGTTCCGCTGTAAACTGCCATCTTTAATTTCTTTGTGTGACACGTTTGGCTCCAACGCGGCGGCGACGCACCCAGAGACGGAGGTTACAGAGCGCCCGGGTTCAAAGCCCCCACGATCGGAGGCTTTCACTTCACGTCAGGGGGAAAAGAAGGAGGAACACTCGTCTAGCTCGGCTGGTAATCTGCCAGCATTTACGGCTTGTGTACTTGTTTCAGGGGTTTCGGTGGCTTTTGTCACCTCCTCCTCCTCTTCTTCCTCCTCTGCTGAGATCACCTCCATCATGGCAGGTGCGGGCGCGATCCCAGACGTGCGATCAGGTTCAAGAGTCACTAAGAACAAACAGGAAGAAGCTCTGAGAGGGAGATTACCGCAGCCCTCTCCACTCAAGAGACGGGAAGGGTTTGAGGGGACTGCTTCTCTAAAAAAAGTTGTTCAATTCAAATCAATAACAAGAGCAGTCGTCTCGGAGGACTATACAAAGTAGTCACAGAATCAAACAGTGCAAACACATAGAAGCCATTTGTAGACAGGGAGGAAAGACCAATGTCCATAACTGTTGATGAATGTCCTGGATCCTCCCTGTCCTTGGACTCTCCTGGATCGACAAAAAAAAAATCATGGGTTTAAATTTACAGTAAATGAACTTAGTCAGAGAGCTACTTACAGTTTATACAAGTAGTAGAAGTAGTAAGTAATCTTTATTTATATACCGCCTTTTCACTGCAGATCTGAGTCTCAAAGCGGTTTACAATTGTTAATTTTGGGCATTTGTCTCTCACTCCACACAGAGATGGGAGCGGGGTGCCAGTACAGGAGGCGCATGCCAGAACTATTGGACATATTTTTAGTGGTAGGGGAAACCGGAGTACCCGGAGGAAACCTACGCAGACACAGGGAGAACATGAAAACTCCACTCAGAAAGGCCCTGGTCCGACCGGGATTCAAACCCAGGACCTTCTTGCTGAGAGGCGAGAGTGCTATCCACTCTGCCACCGTGCCGCCCATACAAAAGAGAGGCAGAGAGCTAGTCCTTCTATATAATAATTACAACAAAACAATACAATACAATTTATTCTTGAATAGCCCTAAATCATAATCATCTCAGAGGACTTAACAAAACCATTGAAATCACCAAAACAGATCAGAGAATCAACAGTTAAAACACAGAAAATACACATATGAATTGGTCCATGGGGAGAAACCAATGTCCATGAATGTTGATAAATGTCCACACATGTTGTAGAATGTTAAAGTGTCCTGGATCATCACCACAGTCCTTCTAGTTGGACACTAACTGTCCTGCATCGGCAAGGAAAAAGTCTAAAACCCATTGGGAGAAAAGTGAGAAACCTCGGAGAGACCCACATATTGAGAGAGGGATCCACACGGACAGACGGGCGAATGATCCAGGACCTAAGCTACAGAACGAGAAGCTTCTACTCTGACAAACCTGGTTTTGTTTCGCTGTGCATCCAACAGAAGGATTTCATTTTCACTCTTTTTAATGCACTGTGACTATTGAACATTGGAATGCCTTGTGTGACTGCTTCTGTCTTGTTTTGTTCAGCACTTTGAGTTGTCTTGTGTATGAACTGAACTGTTTCCAAAGTGGATAGAATAGAAATAGAGGGTGACGATGGAAGAGTCCAGGCCATCAGCTGTGTTGCAGTATACTTCAGTCATCACCGTGTGGGGAGCGAATTAGAAAAACTTAGAAACTAACTTCCCAAATACACAATAAATATGTTGAAACCATTACAAAACCAGTAGTGTTGTCAGTCTATTCTCATTCTCAGTGTTTGCATTGGTAGTGATTAGAAGCTATGGCTACACAGTGCACACATGAGCTCGCATAATTACATCTACACAAAACGTCCTCATCCTCATTCTGCCCAGAGCTTCACAAACCCACAGGAAGAACCCACAACCATAACCCACATTTAAATATCGTTTTTTTTTCTCATATTTTCCCCGGAACAGTAATGACATCGTGCATCATTAGTAAACACTCGTTTGCCCGGCAGAGGCTGCAGCTCGGGGGACGGCTTGTTCCGCGGTGACCCTCTCAGCGGAGTCAACAGCTGCTTCCAGTCGGAGCTCCGGAAGACACGTTCATCCCTCACCGAGATGGCTCCAGCTAATGACCACCTTGCTACACCGCTAATTACCAGAGGTGGCGCTACAGCCCGGGCCATAGCCTGAATATCAGAGGTCTCCAAACTTTTTTCAGATTACCAGACCTGTTCAAGGGCCGACAACCCGAATTTTTTTTTGTTAAAAACAAATGTTAAAAACAAATGTCACTATAAACTAGAAACCGTTGCAATGGCTGAAGCCATTGCGATTGACTGCGGAACAGATCTAATGTGGAATTTAGCTGAAAAATCCTTGAAATCCTTGAAACTGTTAAAATACTTTAAACATCTTTGAAACTCCTGAAGTATTTGAAGCTCCTGATATCCTTTAAACTGTTATCCTTTATACTGGTTTTCATGTAAAAACCCCTATTAAGTTCCATTATACTGGTTTACATGTAAAAACCCCTATTAAGTTGCATTATACTGGTTTACATGTAAAAAACCCTATTAAGTTGCATTATACTGGTTTACATGGAAAAATCCCTATTAAGTTGCATTATACTGGTTTACATGTAAAAAACCCTATTAAGTTGCATTATACTGGTTTACATGGAAAAATCCCTATTAAGTTGCATTATACTGGTTTACATGTAAAAATCCCTATTAAGTTGCATTATACTGGTTTACATGTAAAAACCCCTATTAAGTTCCATTATACTGGTTTACATGTAAAAACCCCTATTAAGTTGCATAATACTGGTTTACATGGAAAAATCCCCATTAAGTTGCATTATACTGGTTTACATGGAAAAATCCCTATTAAGTTGCATTATACTGGTTTACATGGAAAAATCCCTATTAAGTTGCATAATACTGGTTTACATGGAAAAATCCCCATTAAGTTGCATTATACTGGTTTACATGGAAAAATCCCCATTAAGTTGCATTATACTGGTTTACATGGAAAAATCCCTATTAAGTTGCATTGTACTGGTTTACATGGAAAAAACCCTATTAAGTTGCATTATACTGGTTTACATGGAAAAAACCCTATTAAGTTGCATTATACTGGTTTACATGTAAAAACCCCTATTAAGTTGCATTATACTGGTTTACATGGAAAAAACCCCTATTAAGTTGCATTATACTGGTTTACATGAAAAAACCCTATTAAGTTGCATTATACTGGTTTACATGGAAAAATCCCTATTAAGTTGCATTATACTGGTTTACATGGAAAAATCCCTATTAGGTTGCATGATTACACTGAAGTCCTTGAAACTGCTGAAGTCCTTGAAACTGCTGAAGTCCTTGAAACTGCTGAAGTCCTTGAAACTGCTGAAGTCCTTGAAACTGCTGAAGTCCTTGAAACTGCTGAAGTCCTTGAAACTGCTGAAGTCCTTGAAACTGCTGAAGTCCTTGAAACTGCTGAAGTCCTTGAAACTGCTGAAGTCCTTGAAACTCTTGAAATCTTGAAACTGCTGAAATCCTTGAAACTGTTGAATCCTTGAAACTGTTGAATCATTGAAACTGTAGAAATGTCTGAAAGAGCTGAAGTCCTATTAAAATGCATGGGCCTATTAAAATGCATTGCAGAATTCTCAATGCAGATTTTTGTCCGATTGCGGAAAAACCGGAAATCGCTGAAGTCCCAAAAGTAATAGCAATAATCTCCCAAACATGTGGAACGTTTTGATGTATAACTTGTGGAAATTGTTGAAAATGTGAAAGCTGTGAAACGTGTCAAAAAAAATGACGGAATAAAGAAATACAAAACCAATGGTTGACTGCGGAAGGTTCCGCAGTCAATCAATAAATACTGTTGACAACTGGATTTCTAAGCTTTACAACGAGGTTCAACACGACTATATGGGTTGAGCTGAAGTTGGTTGGATGATGCTGTGAAAGTGCCTCAATGGCTACTTTGTGTCAGCAATACAAAGGGCCTTAGTTTGGACACCCCTGCTGTTATTGACATTACAGTATATGAATGCAGATGAGTTGGATTTGAACAAAAGCTATCTGAAGCCAATTTTTTTTAGTTAGGTACTCCAGCTTTAACAAAAAATCCGTTCATAAAATCCATATTCTTCCGCTTTATCCGTTGCCGAGGTCGCAAGGGCAGCTGTCTAAGCAGAGACGACCAGACTACCCTATCTCACATACACTCTACAAAATCAGAAAAATAAAACATGTATTAAAAATGAATATATAAATATAAAAGTAAAAGACAAAAAACATGGTAAAAATATGTTGAAAGTAGAAAAAAAAGTAGTAATTAAGAAGTTATTTTGAGAAAGAAATTAATAAGAATACACAAATATTATGGAGAGGGCCTCAAACTCAAACTCGCCCTGGGCCCCCAGATTACTACTTCCGCCACTGCTAATTGCAAGAATGAACTGCAAAGAGTCGTGGAATCAACGAAGGAAAAAAATGTCTCGAAACTTGTAAATCGGGAGGAGGCTGACCATGGGAAAGCTGCAAATCTTCTTTTCAAACTGCATTTTTAATTAGAGATAATCAATATTCAAAGCGTGCAAAGTTAGCCCGCTTATGGCCCATCAAAACTCATAAATACTTAATGCGTTAAAAAAAACACTCTAAAAATGTATTCCCAGAGTTTTGACGGCAACCCGGCAAATCAGAAACGATTAATTATAAATTGAACCATTAGTTTTGCGCGGTTCACAAATTGCATTCATATCCGCCGTCGGAACATGGATTTTTTCCCCGGGTTTTGCGCGAGGAATAGCTCAGAGTTGTGATTTTCATGCCGTGTCCGGTCTCGCGCCCCGAAGATTCCATCAGATCAAAGGGACTGGAATGAGTTGTGAGATATATCCAGAATGCAAGATGGCTTCCCGCATTCCAGCTTCAGAGGAACGCCGGGAAAGATCTCATTAGAGTAGGAAGGAGGAATGCCACATCAACAGCGGAACACAAGGCCGGGCTTGTTAACACTCAAACTCACAGTATCACATCACCTCCGTTTGTCGTCAATCGAGAGTTCTTTTACTGATGACTCTTCTTTATTGCTGCTTGTCCACAATGTTTTAGGTCTTACATCAGGCATGTCCAAACTCAGGCCCGGGGGCCAAATGCGGCCCTCAGTGTCATGTTATGTGGCCCTCTGCCTTGCTAACCCAAAGTGGTCTATGAGATCATAAACACAACTTCACTGTCTCATCCAGCCAACTTCAGCTCAGACAGTATAGACCTCGTTCTAAAGCTCAGTGCCTAATTCAGCTGTTATTTGTACATACAGTGCTGACACGGTTTTTGATGGTGTCACAAACTTCCGTTAAAGATGCTAATGTAGCTGGTGAGATGGTAAACATGTGTCATTCAGCCAACTTCATATAGATCATTTTAAAGCTCAGTCAAGACAGTTTTTCAGTCTGAAGTGTCGGCCCCTGAACTAGTCTGGTGAACTAAAGTGGCCCGCTTACTAAAAAGTTTGGACACCCCTGTCTTACATGAAAGAAGTGCCACAACTACGACACCGTCAAAATAAAATAAGCAACACAAAACACAATTAGAAACACTACAATAATAGGCCGTGTGCCATCGGCTAAACCAGGCGTGTCCAAACTCAGGCCCGCGGGCCAATTGCGGCCCTCTGTGTCATTTTCTGTGGCCCTTCTGCTGCTAACACAAAGTCGCCATTGAGGCACTTTGACAGTGTCATCCAACCAACTTCAGCTCCATCAATACAGTTGCGCTATACCTTGTTATAAATCTCAGAGCCTCTGGAATCCAGTCGTTCACTTATTGTAACCCATTTAAATTCCAGAATCCAGTCAATCCAGCTTAAATCCAGTTTGCCAGCCCCTGGTCAAGTCTGATGAACTAAATTGGCCCTCTTGCTAAAAAGTCTGGACACCCCTGGGCTAAACAAAGCCTAGGAATACACCTCCGAGCCAAGATTCAGGGAAATACTTTCCCATTTTAACTGAATACTGCTGTACTGCACTTTTTCAAACTTTGAAAATGGCTATACAAAAGTGGATTTGGATTTACTACCAATTAATATTTACTACCAAATAATATAGATCGCACCAGGAATCCAAACCAGAGTGGTCAGACCGGTTTCATTTTATAGCCTTCTCCGTGTTCTTATGCTTCGTAAACACACTCAATGGGAGAATCATTTTAGCTGAGAATGATGCAGACAAATCAGATCATGTTGTTCTGACTCGGCAGCCGCAGGGAACAGGGAAGATGGATGCAACCGTCCCAGAAGAGAGCGCGCTAAAGCAAAAAGCAGGCTGCTCCGCTCTGAGCCTAAAGGAAGAAGTTTAAGATATTGTTCTTTACAAAAAAGTAGCAGCAGGCATCTCTCATGTGGCTCTGTAAGTTTGTCTGCAGGAGCTTTGTTAGGGAACGCTGCAGTTGGAGATTATAAAGTAAGATTAAATGCGCTCTCGTTTTCTGCACGACACACAGAAGTACAACAGTGTCCAGCCGTGTGCGGTGTATGTGAGCAGAGGTACAAGAAGGCACAGTCACACCGCATTAGTGCAGCGAGTGGAAGACGCCTTTCGGGATCCTGTTTTCTATAAATACGTGAGCTGCAGCCTCTGCGGACTCCTCTCGCAGCTACAGCCTCGGGATAAAGCAGGAAATAAATAAAAATGAAAACACATGCCTCCAAACTGCTCCCATTACACGCTGCGCACCGTAAACAGGGAAACAATGGAGGCATTTGAGCGCGGATCCAAACGGGACGCACAGCGACGGCATCTGGGGCAAAGGCTGCAGGGCTGGGTGGGGAGGCGTGTGGCCAGGGGGGAGGGGGTCTCTCTCTAATGGGCTCGGGGAGGCCCGGCGGAGGCCCCCGGGAGGCCCCTCGCCCCTGGTCTTGCCTTGGGCGGGCCTGGCCTAGCAGCAGTCAGGTGGGCAGACAGACTGAGGAGCACTCCCTGTGTGCTCCCCCGTGCCCCCCCACCCCGCCCCCTCCTGCAGGTGTAAGGCTGTGCGAGAGGAGACAAAGACAGGTCTGCATCAGCCGCATCTGAGTGATGTCTTCATGCTGATCAATGCCGAAATATTGATTTGACATCCAGGTTTGTTCAGGAAGCAACACTCAAATGCAGAAATCAATTCAAGAGTGTTGGTCTCTTTATTGGACTGTGTATGGACTGAGCTACTGTAAATATATATTGTCAGTCTCCAGGTGAGGCTGAAGTTTGAGGCCTCCCAGTTCACTCAACAGAGATTCAGCTCCAGAATAATAATAATAATAATAATGCATTGGTCTTATATAGCGCTTTTCAGGAATTCAAAGACACCTCACATGTCATTATTCATTCACTCCATACGCGGTGGTGATAAACCACTACTGTAGCCGCAAGCTGCCCTGGGGCACACTGACAGAAGCGAGGCAACCAGTATCTGCCATCAGCCCCTCTGACCTCCACCAACCATTCACACACACCAGACCTATTTTAGGCGGGTGAAGGCGGGTGTGGGTGAAGTGTCTTGCCTAAGGACACGATAACAGCCACAGCCACCCGACTGTGGCACCTGGTGTTCCCAGAGGTCTCCCATCACAGTACTAACCAGGCCGTACCTTGCATAGCTCAAGAGGTCTGACGGAATCTGGCTTTCGCATTAAAAGTAAGGTCACATTAAAGCTTTTTTCATAAACAATACCTTTTATTTGTACCAAAAGAAACAGCGTTGAAAAAGTGTGGTTTTTATTTTATATTTTATATTTCTCCTTTAATCCGTCAACTTCACAGCTCTACACCCCCCTCCCCTTCCAGCCCTCACATCACGGTGGAGGCACACAACCTTGACACCTTGACACACACACACTCAGAAGTACTCCCCGATGCAAAAAGCCAATCAATTAACCACTTTAAATGTGGCGTTCAGGGCCATTGCAGGTTGGCCATTAGCATCGAGGCTGAATGTGGAGCAAACATTCACCAGGTTTGTTTTCTACAATCCAGAGAGAGAGAGATTCAGAACCATGTGATAGGTTCATTTATCCAGGAGTGTGATCCAATTTAAAATCAGATTCTACTGGCAGCAGAATAAATGTTTTGTCCGCTAAAGCTAGTTCACGTGTCCAGCTTCGTAATTGTGGTGCGACGTCAAAACCTAGAGCTCTATATACTGTAGTATCTTTCACAGGTAAATACGAGAACGCATTTGCGCCCTGGGACAACATATGGACGGCATAAAACCGCCCAAAACCCTCCATTTCTACGACGCAAGCGAGCGATCCACACACATCTTTACAAAGTTTATTCTCCGCGCTCTTTGTCTGTTCAAAGACTGAATCTCTTGGCGTACGTGGACCTGTGCATCTGTGAACTTTGACGCAGCTCTGTTCGGCTGGAGCCCTCTGCGCGGCTGGAGGCCTGGAGATCACGGACGACCACCGGCGGTCCCAAACTCCCCCCCTGGTCTCCATCTGACCGCCGAAGCTGTGGCGCCTCTGGCATGACTTTCAGCACGGGGGAAAACTATATATACGCCTCTTCATCGCGCCTGCTCAAACATTCATCACAGAGGTTGGCTAGCGCTCCGACGGGAGACAATAGAACCCTTTTTGAAGACATACTTTTGAGGTAGGAGGTGACACAGACACGGCTTCAAAAGTTCCCCGAGCCAACACCAAAGACTTTCCGCCCAAGAAAAGAAATACAAATAAAAAAACATCCGGTCTGGAGGGAGGTCATTACAGGGCCATGTTGACGCCGCTCATATCCAGTGCAGTTTTAACATTGGGAATGGGCTCTGCTGGCAAAAGTAGTGTTTGTCCGTGTGCTAGCTAGCGGGACGACAGTTAAAAGAGGATTTGCATTACTTCCTGGCAGGCGAGGTGAAGGTCAGGCTTCCCCTCGAGTCTCTCCACCCGAAACAAGCAAATAAATACTTCATACTACGCGGCGTCAGGAGAGTCCGTTGCATAAAATGTCCGAGATTTACCGAATCATTTGGAGGGATGGGAGCGTTATTTTTTTTTAAACAGC